CATTTCGGTGGATTCAGGTGGCCGCTTGCTCGTTTGTCACATTATATAATAAAAAAAGGTAGCTCCAGACATGTAAAGTTTGATACTTACATCAGCTTATAAGAACTCGTGATCATATGGCTCGCATTGGTACGGGAATACACTGATAGAGATGTATGGAAGAGCAACACATACTGCCGACACTCCGTAAGGGATAAGGGCAAGTTGATGCTGATGGGGCGGGAACACATGCCAATAAAATTGAGTAGTAGCTAGTATACCATCTACTTACACAATGCGTTACACACGTTAGTAAAATGTCAACGAAATCGTAGGAAAGAGACATATAGATATCAACCTTCTTACTCCGCCTCAACCCTTCCCTAAACTTCTATGCTCGTAGCTCTTATTTCAAATACCGAGCTAGAACATACCAGCAAGTAAGCGTTGCTTCATTTCTAACTGGCACGCTCACTGGCACGCTTACCTTACCTGCATAGCTGTCACCTACTGGTATGTGTATTCACGTCCTACTGTACGAATCAAAATTTAGTAAACACCTAAACAAACAGGAAGGGATAAGATACATATTTAAATAAAGAATTGATGACAGGACCTTTTAATAATTCATGAAATTCCACGGTCCATCGTTACGGGATTGCTTTGTCAAAATGAAAAACGATGCCCGCTCAAAGGGTGTCGAATGGGCGGGAAAATTGACAGCTGTCAAACGTGGATTAATTCGCGCGAGGGTCACGCATCGGTACACATAATGAAAGGTTAAATTGGTTGTAACATTGTATTGTAAAAGAATTAACTGAATATAATTATTGAATACAGACATTTAAGTAATAAAATTTCATTTAGCTTGTTACAAAGTACATTACCGAGACTCTCGGTATGCTAAGTTAAGGGTGACTAGGACATAGTCAACATTGCCTACTGCGGAGTGGTTTTACAGAAATGAATTTCTTAGATGTTTGCAGTATGCACCACAACACGCTATAAAGAGGCCGTTAAATAGAATACTGCAAGCAAGCGCCAATAGCCTAATGGTTTAGAGCACGGAGTATCGATATTGCGGCCGAGGGTTCGAATCCCATTATACGACTGTTGTGAACCATAAGCTTAATTGGTTGGTTAAAAGAAATATAAGTAGATTAACAGAAATCTACTAATATTTTAACTAAATTTGAGCTCTCTTTATTTCAAATTAATTTATACCTCGATTTAATGGAAAGAATTTGGCCGCTAATGGTTTGCTTATTTCCCTTATAATATGAAAAATATGTTATTTTATT